ACAAACAATATCGATATCGATATTGACAAATACATAATGCATACGTATTGTTTATGAAATTGCGCATTAGTCTATTCCAAATTTCGAATTTTATTTACAAATCATACGTAATTATTACATGTTATGCTAACACATGTAATAGTATTGAGATTCGAAATACATGTAAATGTTTTGTAGTATCCGAGGTCGACTTCCCTACCATAAATCACCTAAATCATAAAACAGAGAAATTTTTAATATAAATTTTTTTCTTATTTTTTTTGTATATATTTTTAATTTAATGTACTTAAAATTATAAGTGTGATAAATAAAATAGTGTGATCCAGAAAAACTCTCATGTAAAGTCCCCGATGAAAGTAATGGCGTCACTATGATTTTTTTTTCATAAAGACAGAAATTTTCATAGTGACAAAAAATGTGTCGATATATTTTTATGGGGGACATTTTTTTACTCGGATCAACCAGGACCAAGTATCATAATAGGACAGGTAAGTGGTAAAAAATCAACTAAAAAAAGTATCTGTCCCCGTAACAACCAGTAAAAACCAAAAATATGGGAAATACCCACATAAATATCAAGTTTATCGCATGAATTTGACAAGTGGTATGAAGTAAAGGAAGCGAATAGTTATAGAAATCTGGACAAGCGAATGGAATGTTTCCCATTTCACGAACTGCTGTGTATATGCCTTTTAATAAATGTTTTTAAGATTAAAAGTTAAAGTATACGGTATAGCATAGAACCTTCTGATTGTGGTCTACAATGATTCTTACTTGGAACTCAATCGCATATTCACATCCAAACGTAGATCTATATAAAACTTAGTAAGATAATAAATGTTTTAATATGAAGTTAAAAAATAGAATATATGCAAGAGCATCAAAAGTAATTCCAGAAGAGCAAAATATTTCACACATAAATAACATTACAGCAGTTATAGGAGTTAATTTTAGCACAAAGTATCTAATAAAATTTTAACATAAATTTTAACAATATCAAAGATAAATGATCAATTTTCAAAAATAAAATTTACAGTACATACACTTTGTCGATAGAATGTAATTCGAGAATTCCATTTGACTTACCAAATAAAATTGTGATTTTATAACTAGTACTTTTTAATACTTATTTATATTCAATCTAATAGTTATAAATATTATTAATATTTTGAATAATTATTAAGATATTGAAAGTTCTCTTTGAATATTTCTTTAAATTTTATAAGTATCTTAAAATATTTCAAAAATAATAACAAAAGTTTAATGCTCTTTTTGTAAATCAAAATTTCAAAAGTATTATAAAGTTTTATTATAAAGAATGATTATTAGATTTTTTATAGATCAAATTTTCAAAATATTATTTTAATTATACCATTTGAAAAAAACAATTATTAGTATAAGATTTCTTTATAAATTAAAATATTATTATAAAAGGCATTCTTACAAAAAATATTTATTAGTAAAAGAATTCTCTATAAGTTATATTTAAAAAATATTAAATAAAATATTTTAGTGATATAAAAGAATTTTTGATTAAATACTTGTAAATAATTTTTTGTAGATAAGTAAGTTATTAATTATATCTTTTTTAAATTTTCAAACTGAATCTAATACAATTAATTAATATTAAAATAAATTAATTATTTAATAAATTAAGAGATAAAATTAATTTAAAAGAAACTTTTATCAAAGAATAAATTAAACAACAAATAATTGATATTATTAATAAAAACTATCTAGAAAATCTAACTACTAAATCAATCAATCAACTTAATATATTATTAAAACAACCTTTTCAACAAAAAGAACAAGAAATTCAAGTCTATATATATTATTTATAACAAGTAATTACAAATTTTTTTGATACAAAAAAAAGTTTATTGATAATAACAAAAACTTCAAGAACAACTAGTTAAACTCCAAAAATTAGATAACCAAATTATTGAGTTACCAATATAAATTATTGAGAAAGATCTAGAAGATCAAGTAATTCAAGTAATAGAAGAAGATAGTGAAGAAAAATCAGAGTTAATTATAAATAATTAATAATTTAACTAAATTATAGTCGGATTAACAAATCTAACAAATATTATTTAAGCACAAGCTAATATTACTCCACCAGCAAGAGAAGTATTTTTCACAAAAATTATTAATTTTTATAGAGATATTCAAAATTCTATTGGATAATTACAAGATTTTGAAAGTATATATTAAGCTAATGATATATCTAATACTAGAAAAAGATAAATTATTAGAATATATTTAAAAGATTTTGCTAAAACATGATTAGTCAACAAAAGAACTATTATTACAGATTGACTAACTCAATGGAATTCAAATAATATTAATAATTCAGTTAATTTAGCTACTTTCTTCATATATTAATTCAAATAAAGTTTAAAACTATTGATAAAATCTAAAAATGACAACAATAATTACCAACTGAAATAATATAGTACATGTACTCAGAATACTATGATAGAGAGATATTGTGATTTGATATTATACTTGAAGATGGTTGGAGAAGTATATATATATACAGAAAAATAAAAAATATAATACATGTAATCACTTTATTTCTTATTAAAAATAGTTGAATAAACACATATATGTATCTGGTACTTTACAAATTTCTTGTAATACATGTATAATCCATGATTTATTTAAAATTTTAGCTGAGAAACTATAAAAAATCTTTATAAAAAATAGATTAGTATTTGAGCTCATCAGATTTTTTTTTAACTTAGCTCAACTAATAAGAAGAGTTTTGCAAGAAAATTGAATACAAAAATTCATGCTGGCTGTATCTGGGATCTCATTTTGTGATTGCAATCCTCTGGCAATCATAATGATATAACTAAAACAGAGTCTCAAAGTTTTGACTCCTTGGTCTTTGCATCTTGATATCAAAATTTTTGTGATGCTGAAAGCCTTGCTGATTATAAAAACCAAGAAGTTATCTTTTGTTATTGTCACTTCAGTAGTGCTCTTGTTCAAAGAAGTACTAAAATAGTTATTGAAAAGCAGATTCAATATTGTTAATAGAATTTTAAATATAAAAGTAAAGATATAACTCACTGTAAATACTTGTGATACTTTTTTATAAAAAAAATTGAAAAGGCAAAGAAGCTTTATAAGCTTTTCATGCAATAAGCATAAATAAATATACTGAATACATTTATTTTTCGCTAACAGCATCTTAAATTTGCAAACAAAAAAATTAATATATCACAGATAATATATTTTTGTTTATAATCTTTAAACATGATCCAAGTTACAACTTTGTGAACTGAGTTCACAATCTCACATCATATCAAAGCAAATACCAAATATACCAACTGGATTCCAACTCTAGAATATCTTTGTCCCAGGTATATCAGAAATGCTTCAAACTCTGGAATTCTTTTTACAAGATTTTCACAAATTAAACAATATTCATTCTTATCTATGACAACTTACAGAGTTATGAGATACTTGTCAATTTACTAAAACAGAAAAATGTTCAGTATATAAAAATAAGAGGTGCATGACATGATTTCATAATATGATCACATGATAATTTTAATGGAAATCTAACACGTAGAAACTCAGAAATAGTAATAGTAATAATGCTCTTGTAATTTTGCAAGAATGAAGACAAAACAATCACTTCTTTATTATGGCAAAATATCTAATGATTCTTTTTATATTATACCATATATAGATAATGATAGCATAATAAAATTTGACAGATTTTTGAAAAATATATAGTTTATAACTACAAGCTTTAGTAAAGTAATATAATTTATACAAATCTCATGTGTTTGATTTGATAAAGTCATAATATTGTACAATTCATATTCTTAATAATTAACCTGATTTTATGTTTCAAAAAATTATTTGCAAGATATTATCAAAATAGATGGTTATATGTGTATCTTCTAAAATTCCATTGTGAACTCAATTTTATTGAGCCATTTTGGAAGAAATCAATGGTATTTATATGTATGTTGTGATTAAAGATTTCAAAGAAATTGTTTTTTCTTTATGATATTTGACATTTGGTTATTTGAGTCTTATCGTTATTATCGTTATTGCGTATTAAATAATGATTGACTTTCTCGTTCTAAAATTACCCAACATAGCCAACCCAGTCTGGCTGCACATAAATTGAATAAAATAACGATAATTAGTGCAAGTTGGTTAACCGAAATAAGAAATTGTTGCCAAAGATCACCACTTGACGTATTACGTAAGCAATAGAGATTAAAGTTAACGTTAATGTTAAAGTCAACTTTAAGAAAAAAAACTGCGTACGTACATACTTAACATGTCTATCTTCAACTTTGTTACTTTTTCAGAGAAATATTTTTTAATGTTGAATAAACTTGCATATTCATTGAAAAAGAATGATACAGTAGTAAAGAGTGAAGATTAAGAATTAAAAAATATTTTAGGTTAAAAATTAACGAATTACGATTATATTAGTGAACGGGGCCGATTGAATAATTTTATATTACAGTCAAAGCTGGTTATAGCCATGCTAACTACTCTAACGATAACGATAACCGCTTTTTTAAAGTGATATTTCCATTATAACGATAACAATACTTTTTTTTTGTGTACGGGGGCATATCGTTATAACCAGCTTTGACTGCATTTATGCGAAAAATTATGAATTTAGTGAATTACTGTTATTGTGAGAAAATTGGGAAAAAATATAATAATACTTTTGAGAAAGTAAAAATACATACAAAAATGCTAAAAAAAAAAGATGCATATTTTGGCAATAAAATTCTATTATATAAAAACAGAAAGAATTTCTTGACGCTGTTATTTTTACGTGAGAAACATATATCGATCGATATATACCTACTGGATTTAATTAGTGCTTTTGTGCCATTTTGGTGAAATTTTTTATTCAAGCAAACGTTTTTACAAATTTTTGGTTCATTTTGACCGGAAATGGATTGCATTCATTAATTCAGCCAGTGAATTAATGCAAAGGGTACATGCAAAAATTATTTTTCTTCAACTTTAGGAATTGTCGGTTGCGCATTCATACCTATATAGAAACATCATATTTTAAGTTATACTCATAACACAAAAATAGCAAAAACCAATTTTAAGACTCACTTCCAACACTTTTTGTCATTAATTGCGTGACTTTTCCATTTCGACGAATCGGAAAATCAAGTAACCGACTCGAATATACAGCATCCGGATGCACACCAACTTTTTGCTGTTTGGAGCTTTCAGTGATTCGCTGTAAATACTCTCTCCACTTTTTATCATTAATATCCGTCGGCGAATTGCCGAATCCATTAGCATCTTTTGATCCCAACAGATTCGCCGCTAATTTTGCGGCACTTGGACGATTTGCCGGATCTTGATCCCAACATTGTCGCATCAGTTTAGCGTATCTCCACGGTGTACCTTCTATCACTTCTGGACGAAGGTCATTGCAAATTTCCAGTGCAAGGTTGTAATCGTGTGGACGGTCGTCAAAAGGTTTTCGGCCGGCAGATACCTCCCAAAGTATCATCCCGAAACTATACACGTCTGAAGCTGATGTATATTTTTCACCGTTTAGTACTTCTGGGGCGATGTATGGGAGCACACCATATATGTCATCTGTATTTGTCGAGGCGTTGACTGGACGACATGATCCGAGATCTCCTATGGATACAGAGGCACCGGATAAGGCCATTCCAACAAGTACATTGCCAGTGTGTAAATCTCCATGTATTAGATCTTTTCGATGAATATCCACTAATGCTGACGCTACTTCTCCTAATATTTCTAGTTTTTGTGCCCACGTAACCTTAGTTGAATTTTTTTCTAGATAGCTATGTAGGTCTCCCTCCGATGCGTAATCAACTACAAGCATATAATTTTGTGTTTGCGGGTCTTGTGTTATTCCAAAACAATAAATTATTTTCGATATCCAATGTGGAAACAACATTTCTTGATGGCGTAATAACTTTAGTAGACATTAAGTTAGATAAAAAAAGAAAAATTGCCAATTACCAACCAACAAATATCAATAAACAAACCTCTTGAAATAAATCCGAATTCATTTTCGCCGAATTATTAAGAGTTTTCAGCGCAACGGGCGTCGGCCCACACCGTTCATAATATTTGCCAGCGACTCTCTTCCAAACCGACGCTTCTCTCCACCGCGGTCCTTCAATCCACGTCGCCGAATGCACCGTACCAAATCCACCTTTCGCTAAATACTTTATATTCTTGAAACTAGAATATGGAATAAATTCCATATATTTTACATGTCTTGGAGCATTAAATTGTGTTGATTGCAAAAACCTATCGATATTTTCGTTGCCGCTTGTCCACTCACTAAATTTTCTTCGTAAACGTTTCGATTCACATTGCTGACACCAGTATGAAACGCGTGGTTTCTCGCATTTTGGACACTTTCCGTCACCGTCTGCTGCTCGTCTTACTCGTCGGAATATTATTTTCCACTTTGGTATTAATGGTGGTGTTTCAGTTACTAGACAGGTGCCAATATCATCCATGATTTTTATTTTTATTGTTTGGAGATAGTTATTTGATTTGTTATTATTGTCTTTGTTTAGACGTAGAATCTATTTTATTTTCAGCAGTAAAAAATATCGCGAGTTTATATTTACTTCAATGGTTATCGTCAAGAATTTTATGATTTTCTTTGTTTAGATGTAGAATAACAGTAAAAAATATTGCGAGTTTTTATTTACTTCAATTGCTATCGTCAAGAATTTTATGATTTTCTAATAATGAGGAAAATGAAGTATTTTTAGTTTATATAACGAAAATGATAACAATAAAACCGTTGGTGTGACGATTGACGGCCCGAAAAGAAACACAAAAAACCGTTGATTGTTAAGCCAAGAAAATAAGAATATGATATCGATACGTATGTACATCGGTACTTGATCACTCGTCTCAGGTTTGAGCACCAATTGAAATGTATCAGGAAATTTAATCACCAATCGTTTCTTTATTTTGATGCATCTCATATATGTACATGTATAATGTAAAAACACGTCATATCGATATTGCTAAAGTTATTCTTGACCCTCGTCGTTGGTAAGAAAAAAATGTGTGACAATTTTTTATATCAATGATTAAAGTTCGTCCGCTTGTCTAAACGAGCAGAAGTGTCCTCCGTATGGCAACAAACAAGATAATTATATATATTTGAGTGGTCTTAATTAATAATTTATTTTTTTTTTTAAATATTTATTAGTATTTTTAATTTGCTATCAATATTGTTATCATACATGTAATAACTCAACAACGTGATTTCATTGAGATATTTTTTGCCACATGAATGAAATTTAAAGACAAACCTTCTATCAGGAAATAAATTTCAATTGTATTAGCATGCATTTTTGATTGCGTTACGCATTATAAGAATTTGAGAATACAAAGAAAGAAGGAAAGAAAGATGAAGAGAATTAAAATTTAAATACAAAATAAAATAAATGTTTCAATTTTCAAACATTGAAAGAAAAATAACATAAATCTCTGCTGTATACTCTTTTTGTTCTTCAATTCTTTTATTATTAAATTAACGACGAAACATCGCGCGTGCGTGTGTGTGTTTGATATACGTACGTATTTTGCTTATATGCGCATTCAGTCATTTCTTTGTATATTCTCAAAGCATCTGTGCACCCACGCGTGTATGCACGATGCACGATGATGAACAAAGTCGATGATAAAAACAAATACATGTACATGTATGTGTACAATTCATGCGTTACGTAAATATGTCGTTTATTTTTTTTTGTTTGTTTATCGTTATCGTTATCATTTAAAAAGTAATTCTGTCGACTGTGTATTGAATGAGAACGACGAAGAATGCAATTTTATATTTTCGAATAAAAAATAATTTTACCGAAACATCTATTGAAATTATTGAGATAATTATAAGTTGCCATCGGTTCTAAATTAACGTTTGTTCATTTTCTCAATTATACTTATATGATACACCATCAATGGTGGTGTTTTTATCATATTCTTATATTCGGATTAATTTTCTTTTTGTGTCATATTAACTTGTTTGACAAAGGATTAGGCGTGGATAATTGAACTTTTGTGTAAGTTTAGATAGCAAGCAGCGAGTTTTGTGTAAGTCTAGATAGGAATATACGAGATAAAAGAAAAATGGTTCTTTATGTTTCATTTAGCAGGATAAAAACGAGTTTTATTCTTTTATCTTGTAATTTATAAAGTAACTTTTTCTTAGCAAGTTGAGCTGCTTATTATGAAATTGTATCAATTCAAGATTGATATTAAGGTTTATGCAGTTTAATCTTTAAGAAAAATCTCTGTGAATCATCTACCTTAGAATACTGAGGTGTGATAAGTTTCAACGTTATAGGGCTAACTTACACAGGTAGAAAGGGGTAAGTGCACTAGTGTTCCTGTGTTGAAAACCTCTAGGTGACGAGCACTGACCAATCAGAAACGAAAAAAATCGCATGAGAATTTAATCGACCAATCAAATGTTTTGGTGCCTCGAAAATTTATTAACTTTATTAATTTTGTTTATATAATAATTACGGACGCCAAAGATATTCTTGTCGATTACAAGTACAGGTGAATAACACTAATTTTATGAAACAATTTAATTAACGACTTCTAATTAGGAAACATTCAGGAAACATCTAGGAAAACCGGAATTCCACCTAGAGGTTTCCACGAATAAATACTTATCCCTTAATTCTGGATTTCCTAGGTGTTTCTACCCACGAAACCACTAGGATACTTGCCCCTTTCTACCTGTCCTGTGTTAGAGATCAAAGTATTACTCCCTAATCGATAATATCAATCACGATCATAAAATAAGTATTAGAAATTTCAACCTTGCTGGCAAAAGTCAAAAACATTATTGAGATAATTTAAATGATTATATTTTGCTTGTGTTAAATAAAGGCTTCTCTATGAACAAGTTTTCTGAAGAAATTGTCCTAGCGCTAGTGATTATCACTTTGGGTTACTGTTACTGAACAACACGCCCTTATCAAATATTGTCCAATCAAAAGTTGTACACTACATGTATACTGTATGTCTTTATTATATAAGCATTTCGATTTAGTTTAACTGCATGTATAACCTTACCTACGAGTTACGAAATATTTTTATATTGCAAATTCCGATTTTGACCAGCGGATTTGTGCGAAGAGAAGCAAGTATGTGTATCGTAAACTGCCGTGAATAAGCACCATCCTATTTCAATCAAAAACCGTAAAACAATAAACAACACCACTAAATTTAAATTACAAAATCTAAAATCGCGATAATTTTAAATTGTTAGAAAATGTTCAGAAAGAGTACCACCCCGTTTTTTAGAAATCAAAAAGTGGTGATTATTTACGGCAGTTTACGGTACTTTATCAACTATTGTCATCTATGCTACTGGTAGCTGGTACATTTAATTGAGTAATTATTTTCATTCGAAACATTTAAACCTGTGGGTCACAACTTGACTGAACAATGGATAGAAAACAAGATCCTTTTAACGTTATCCTGGATAACCATGGCTTTCTATATTATACAGACGGTGATAATTCAGAAAGA